GATATGGTGGTGGTCACTACGGTGAATCGCCCCATTCTGCAGGAACAGAAATATGCAATTTGAAGGCTCGAGATTTTTCTGATATTTATGAGGGCTTAGATCTTTATCTTGAAAAATATAGTAATGAACGCCTAGACAGATCATGCTTCTGCCTTTAAATATACCATTCGTTCAGCCTATTGTTGAGATGCGACCACGTGGGTTCTGCACAGATTTATGGGTCAACTTATAAATTAACTTGCTGTCCATTGTCGGACCTTTAAATAACACTTCACAATGTCTTATCTCATTCATTTTCTAATAACGTCTTTACTCGATCTTCATTATATTCCATTGAACCTAACATTTTATAGCCCTTTATGAATTTGATTCGACTTATTCTATTCCTATTCTCTGAAGGGTACGGTTGTGTATCAAACGCACAAAAAGGTATGAAATAAAAAACGGCATGAGGATAAATGTATTAAAACCAAAAGTACGAACTATATGGATATCATTATACATTGCAAATGAACGTTGTCAGCATAGGGAGTTTCCTTTATAAATGAATTTACTAATGATACTTGCACTTACCTATTTCATTACACTTTATTGATTCACCTTAGCACTTTTACATTTCTAAAAAAGCTGTGAATCCCTTGTAAACGTTGTACTTACCTCAGTATTGGTTGGTTATCGTATGCCGACAACCACGGGATGAAAACGAAACGAAGTCGATTTTCCCGCTCAACCTGGAGGACAATTGTACAATTCAATAACTATACGGCCTGGTTCAGAAAATGAGTGTAATTATATATATATATCAAATATTTGACAGTTGAAACATTATTAACTTGTAGACGATCTACGATTTGATATTATATCATACTTGATCGTGCCTGTAAAAACGGCATGCATTCTCATGTAAATTTATATGTTTATATGAGAATGCACACTATATTATTATTAATCACTCTCAAAAGATGTGATTCGTCGTGAGGATTTCGCGTCGGTATTTTTTGAGTCTGAAAGGAAATTAAAAATAAATTGATAGTGATTGGAAATGTATAAGAACGCATTAACCGAACAGGATACATCCAACGCACAAGCATCTGTCTGAGATATCTCTTCTCGATATATATAAATGATGAAGTGTCTGAATTTCAGTTGGAAATAGAAACTGGTTTGACTTCTTATCAAACTTTTTCTTCGCATTCCTGGACACTGGCTGCTTGAAATATATTCAACCTAAAGGATATCTGCATACTGATTGCAAATTTTATACATGAAAGTTGTTTTAATTGTACACCACTGTTTACATGACAGAGATATTTTTTCAAAATATTTGTAAGTTGAAGATAATTATGGCTAATATAATATACAGCTGCCTCAAAAAAACCGTAGAGAGGCCGTTAATTTTCGCGTGATACTTACCACTTTTTTGACATGGATGGAAAAATCTCAAATACATAATGACTTTTTCCACAAACGATGTTAATTAACATCGTTATGTTAACATATGCGTGATTTTGTATAGTGACGTCGTGACTGATGATTAAATCTTCTGTGATCCAGGTTTTTATTTTAATTTCAATCGAAATTCATAAAGTTAGTGTGGTTTGGTAGTTCTTGTCATGTGCATAAATATTTATACTTATGACATATTCATGAATATGCATATTCCTGCATTTATAAAAATTTTTGTTTCATGCTTTTCGGTAGTATTTGAGTTACTTTTAATTGTCAAGCTTACGACTTGCAACTTTTCTCGTATACCTTGGTGATCTATAATTATAAACTTAAGTGTATGAATTCAAAAATATCTCCGTTTTACTTTAGTTTGTCGATCTTTAAACAAACCCCATATAAGCCATCAAGTGCAATAAATTTGTTTCCCGGTATCATTTTTCCACAAAACATTTCACTTAAATTTCCAGGTCTAATATCTGAGGGTTTAATTCTTGGTTACCTGCCATATATATTTCAAAGAATCGCATTATATTATGCGATTCGACCTCCAGATTCAGATCCAGATTTTAAGGATAGAAGGCTCTTGTTGCCTATGTTAATCCACGCACTATATACCTCTGGAGAGGTCCGGTTTCTCTTTGAAAGCGTTCACCTATGGAGCTGTTACTACTGAGTCAGGTATGGAGTTCCAGTCGTTGACCACTCTGTGAGAGAATCTAAACTCCAACCGTATTTTATTCGACCTCGGTTTGACCACCTTCTTCTGGTGACTCCTTAAATGTATCCTAGAGGGTTAGAAAAGATTTGAAAAGTCAATCCCTAAATCACCCTTTAATATACGGTAAGCCAAAATTAAGTCGCCTCTCCTCCTTCTGTATGATAATGGGAAGAGATTTAAATGCTCCGTCCTCATGTCATAAGGAAGATATGAGATACCACTAACTAATTTCGTTCCTGCCCTCTGTACTTTTTTAGGGCATGTGCTTCCTTTTTGAAGCATGGACTCGCCGCTTGTATGCAGTACTCAAGATGAGGTCTGACATATGTTGCATAGAGTACTTGGAACATACCCTTGTCTAATCGTTTGAAATCCCTCCGAAGTGCCCACAGCATTCGGAAAGCCTTAGCTGAGGCTCGATTACAGTTTGCCGTTGTTTTTAAATCATGGCTAACAATAATTCCTCAGTCCTTTTGTTCTCTAACATCTGGCAGCTCTATGTCTCCCATGGAGTACGACGTGTAAGACTTCTGACCTAGGTGCATTACCGCGCTTTTCTTGGAATTGATTTCCAGACTCCAGAGGTTAGCCCATTCGGCTAATTTGTCTAGATCGTTTTGTAGTACTAACCTATCATCGCTACTATCTAGGGTTTTCTATATCTTAATATCGTCCGCAAATAGTAAGGAAGATAAGAATTTTCGGCACTTCATTTACGTATAATAAGAATAGCAGGGAGCCAAGTACGATCCCCTGAAGTACTCCACTTACTAATGCTTTCCACCCTGACAGTGCATCATTAACCCTTACTTTCTGCCTCCTATCCATCAGGTAGTCAATAAACCACTCACATAAGCGTTGGTCTAATCCAAAAGTGGTTATTACAAGGCTGAAATGAAAGGCGATCGTTTTTTTTCAAGAGAACTGGACACAAAACCATTCAAAATATTCCAGTAAGCGACAGTCGGCCTGTCATAAAATGAGAAAGGTGAATGAATTTGATGTCAGTCGTCTGTAACAACATGTCACTTTAACTTGTAACTCTTCAAAGTTCTTAGTTAGACATATTGGTGTCGATGACTGAGGGTGAAGTGTCTTTTAAAACATATTTTGAATGCTACTGCTCCTAGTTTGCATTCTGATGCAATCAAGGTCTTCTTATTTTATACTATTAGAAATATAAGAGATGATTCTCTCTTCGAACCTAAATCAAGTAGGGAGCGTTGTACAGGACTGAGGAACTGTGCAACGGCCTTTAAAGGACTATTCAGTGCTTTTAAAATCAAAAACATAATATTCAGCGAAGAGACTCTTTTCAACAAATTTATTATCAAGTTGCACACTCGTATATATATGGTGCTTTTAAAATAAATTATATCTGGTGAGGGAATTAGGTCAAAGGTGTGAATACATAAAATAATAATAGTATGAAATACAATTAAAATATTTGTGATTATAATCATGGTTTAATGTCAAGTGGCAAAATAACTAATGTCATATATAGAATAATACATAAGGTGTATAGATTTTGGAAAGGTATACATAATTATAAGATTAGTAGACGAATTTAAAATGTTGCATAACATGTTGTGAAATTTGATAAGATAAAATTCAATATTGTAAAAATATAAAAATAATAATTTTGGGTTTAAAATGACAAGTGGGTCAAGTGGAAAAGATTCAGAGTGAGAGTAGTAATAATAATAATGATAATAATAATAATAAAAGCAATCGTAATAATAAGGGAAAGGTACATAGAATAACTAAATAAACGAAATAAATAGATGTCTATCCCTCTACAGCCAAGGCAGAAGTTGGGATTGTACGTACTTCTTTTGTACACAAGGGTCTGGCTTAAAGTCATGAATTGCTAAGGCCTCAGAAGTACATTCAGGACTTTAAGCCAGACCCTTGTGTACAAAAGAAGTACGTACAATCCCAACTTCTGCCTTGGCTGTAGAGGGATAGACATCTATTTATTTCGTTTATTTAGTTATTCTATGTACCTTTCCCTTATTATTACGATTGCTTTTATTATTATTATTATCATTATTATTATTACTACTCTCACTCTGAATCTTTTCCACTTGACCCACTTGTCATTTTAAACCCAAAATTATTATTTTTATATTTTTACAATATTGAATTTTATCTTATCAAATTTCACAACATGTTATGCAACATTTTAAATTCGTCTACTAATCTTATAATTATGTATACCTTTCCAAAATCTATACACCTTATGTATTATTCTATATATGACATTAGTTATTTTGCCACTTGACATTAAACCATGATTATAATCACAAATATTTTAATTGTATTTCATACTATTATTATTTTATGTATTCACACCTTTGACCTAATTCCCTCACCAGATATAATTTATTTTAAAAGCACCATATATATACGAGTGTGCAACTTGATAATAAATTTGTTGAAAAGAGTCTCTTCGCTGAATATTGTGTTCTTAATACTTTTAAAATCGTCAGTGGTCCCTAGTTATATTTCCACTTAATAGTGATAAATATTTTGATACTAATGAAAATACCAATACTTTCAGGATAACGGGAAAGCATACTTCTTTTATAGGTCATAAAGTCTGTGCGTAGCACTTTCCGCATGGGATTGAAAGGAATTTAAGTATCGAGAAATAATACATTCTCAGATTAACTGTACTTCAAATTGAGGAAAATACTTTATTATTTTGCCTTTTAGGTTAAAATAGATTTCCTGAAATGAGCAGTAACAGCATTTGAATCTTTCTTGCAGTACTGAAATAAAGGTAAGCCCTCTCTGAACATAAATATCAATCTTTATTTCATAAAAGATAATGGGAAGAAGTCAATTCAGGAAAAATATACTTTTACGGATCATCGGTTCGTTGCTTTGCCTGTTTGTTATTGTAAGTGAAATATTAAAACTCCTTCACCTAGGCTGTATAGCTGTTAGGCGGAGGTTTAAGTGCTTTCACGGGATATACACTGGCTACTTTTGAATATATGGGTGAAATATTCGGAAAATATGTATTCTTCGGAGGAATTTATACTATTCTGGCCTGTGGAATACTAACTGTATTATTCGGTTTGATCAGTTTTTACAGTTTCACACACACCAACCGATTCACTGCCATTGTGGTAATTTCTAATTTAATGCAATAAAGTTTAATTAATTGGAATTATTAGGCATGTGTAGGTTTAATATTTCTCAGCATTGTTATCGGATGTACATCAGTGATTGTTTTCGCCTATCCAAAAACTGTAAGTCGTTTAAAATTTTCGAGTGATTTTTGTTTAATGTATATCTTGAGTAGACATCATATTCCGCTACTTACTTCTGGTCTGTTAGTAATTATAAACTTGATATTCTAATCTGTGCAAAGCATGAAGTCGTGTGATTGTTTTCACAGTATTTGTTATTTTGCTGTGGCAAAAAGCGGTGAAAATGACTAGCAGCAGTACAAAACGAAGTGGAAGGAATAGTTAAAGTAATAGAACAGTGCACACTAACATATTTATAAATCTTAAACAGTTTAATCGTATCTCATTTTATATTAGTTTATTTATTGTACATATCACTCTGAGTAGTTGTATTATTTACTAGATGGAATTTTGAACAAAGTTCATTGTTCAAAAATCCTGTCGAATGAGATGACTGCGTCATTCAGTTAGTGATACATTGGATAAGAATGAAAATGAGTCAGTAAATTCAGAGAACTGGCTTTATTATTATTACTACTACTTCAGGTTCCGAGTGGAACTTAGGGCTTCAATAGCATATTTCTACCTTATCTTGTTTTCTGCAGTCCTCTTCATCTGGTTCCACTTTCGTCTCCTCCTCACATGATCTACTACATGTCATTGTCAGATACCTAATTGGCCGCCTCCCATTTATGTCCCTGCTGACTAACAGTGTCACTTAGTGGTCTCATCACTGAGTGTCCCATCCATTTTCATTTTCTGCGGCATATTCGTTGTACAATAAGTTCTTGGTTAGTTTGCTGCCACAGTTCCTTGTTGTATATCCTTTCAGACTGGCTGTCTGATCTTTAGTATCGAGTCAGTAAAGGCAGCTGTTGATAAAGGTCGGAAGCCTGTTTGAATTACTTTTTGTGATGCACGCTCCACCTCTCTGACCCATATAGAAGAACTGATTTAACACTGGTGTTGAAAATCCGATAGTAGCTCCCTTATGCTGGGTTCAGCAGATTTCCAAACTGATTTCAGATCATTTAAGGTTTGCCATTACTTTCTGATCCTGCCTATGACATCCTCGTTCGTGACGCCTTTGATGTGAAGATAGTAGTAAGGACGAGGCTGCCTACTATCACCGATGTTATTCCTGACTGTGATGGACTGGATCATGCGTCAGGAATACTTTGAACTGATGAGGACACTAGAATATCTGGATTTCGTGGATGACTTGTGTTTGGTGGCACACAGACTGGAAAACCTACAACCATTAAGTTGGCAAAAAAAGGCAGGAAGCGAAGACAGGACTTCAAGTAAAGGTAAAGAAGACGGCAACGAGCACCGGTTGAAATTTGAAAGAGATCACTCCCTTCATCTATCTAGAAAGCATCGTTTTCCGTTGTGGATCATCTGGTGCTTGACATTGCCGTGTAGCTGTTGAATTAGGTTGGTTATGACTCGGGGCACTCCATAGTATTGAAGCAGTTTCCAAATCACTTCGTAGTCAGTGCTGTTGAGAGTCTTTTCAGAGCCAATGAAGTTGGGGTAAATATTTGATTGCCATTCTAGGCGTTGTTCAATGGTGATGTTCGGCATTGCGATTCGGACCACACATAAATTTACCCCCTGCATACAGCTTATTCCTGGCGGAGTTCTGCGCCTGGATCATCTTTTAGCTTCTCCAGAAGGACGCGAATCAAATTTTTATTGGCGTGGAAAACAGCATGATTCGGCACCAAGTCTTACAAAATGTTAGTAGCCCTTCTGCAGTAGTGTAGTTTGTTAGCCTTTATTCCAACCAGTAGGCAGCTTTCTTTCCTTATAAACTTCTTACAGTCGTAGCATCAGCATATCCACCGAGGACTCAGGGTCCGTTTTCAGTACTTTAGGGGAATTCCGCCTGGCCCTGCCGCCTCCCTGGCTGGACTTCAGTAGCTTGATTGCATTCAAGACTTCAGCTTTTATTGGAGGACTGGTGTTCCCTGACATTTCTGTGCCTTCTGTTGGTGGTGCTTCTGAACGAGTTGCAGGTTATGGTCACCTTAGGAGTCCTTTGAAGTGATCAGTCTATTGTTTTATTTGTCTCTTCTTCTTGTCAATTAGGTTCCCTTGACTGGTCTCTTCCCAGATACAGATCCTGTTATGTGATGTAATGTTCTGAGGTCTCTTTTACCTGCGGACTGCCTCTACTGCTTGAGTCGCAGATGTATCGCAGAATGGTCTTTTGACCGTCCTAGCACTCTTCCTCACTTTAGTTCATTGTGAATTAAACTCAGCTTCTTCTGTTTTCCTTGTTTGCATTGATGTATCTTTTGTTTTACCATCCCTCTCTCCTCTGTTTGCTTCTATGTGTCATTAGAGAACCGTTACTTTCCCTGCCTCTTCTTCCTAGAACGGTTGCACACGTTTTCTTGAACATCACCTTCAACGAGTCCCAATGTTCTTCCATACAGCTTTCCTGATTGATTCTAGGTAGTGTCACCGACTTGTCTCTGATGTCTGCGGTGAACATGTCAGTTGTAGTTTCGGCCTTCGGTTTCTGAGTGTCGTCCATCTCCAGTTGCTTTGAATGCTTTCAGCTTGATCTCAAAGGTTTCTTGGACTAGATAACGGTATGACCTGCATCTCCTCCTCTTCTTCTTTTTTCCAGCAGACTGTGTTTCCGCTTTCTTGAAATTGAAATGAAGTCTACCTGATATTGTTGTGTTCGTCAGGTGGAATCCATGCATATATCCTTGTGGTTGTACACCCTACCTCCAATCACCGAATCACTGAAAGTACAGAAGTCTGTGAAGAATTCTCTGTTTTCGTACATTTCACCGATAGCCTCTCGACTCATGATGATTTCCCTCCCTGTGTTGCATACTCCCAGTCTAGTGTTCACATCAACAATCACGATTTCGATATCACCGCTTTAGATCCGACCCATCACTATTTTAAGCTGTCCGTAGAATTCTTCTTTGATATGCGGTAACTGTAGAAAAGTAGCATTCGATAATTGTCACTTTCCTTCTTTTTGAGTTTAGTCTTTCTGTCATTATCATGGATAGGATTGGATCCGACTGCATAAGAACCTTGGCAGCCACATACCCAGTGTGATCGTGGCCGTCATCTGGATGGTCGGAGCAGGTCATTTTTTCTCTAGTTGATAATTTATAGTGTTTGCTTCGACTCCATCTGCTCTTACGGATTCCTAACACTTCTACATATCATCGTCTGATTCCTTTTGCAATCTGAACAGTATTCCCAACTTCAAACATCTCGCGAGCATTCCACATCCCTATGCTTATTTTCGCTGTCATGGGGAGAAAATACATCGGTTGACTGGATGTTCAAATACCTTCACTAGCCTGTGTTATTCAGTCTTTCGAAATCCAGCGAAGAATAAGTCTGTTTTTTTCATATTCTTGTTGTGCTTCAAAGTTTCTGTAGCTACTGGATTGACTTTCCGGCGTTGGATCTGTAGTCGCACCCCCAACCCTCCCTCTTTTGCGCGGGCTTAGAGCCGACTAGTAAATTAGGCGAGGTTGTCCTGAGATTATTCACTGGTTAAAGATTTAGAATTTGACAAACCCAGTTAATTAAAGAAAACTACTTTTCATGTCATTCATGTTTTTCATCATGGAACGCATGACAAAAAATTTTTATTCTGTAAGGGAATTGAAATGTTTTAGAGTTATCAGTAAGAATAATGATTAGAGCAGAAAAAAGAAACGAAATGAGGCATCTCAGATGTACAGAATCATTCACATAATGTACAAAAGTGAGGAAGTTGTGAATGAAGAAAAAAGCAAATATCAATCCCAAGTTTGCTCATGAACTGATATATTTTAGAGGACCATCGAAAATCAGTAGGTGCTCGGACAATTATTTCGTTCTAGTTCGCGACTTTTCAGCAATACACATACATGAATATACCAGTGGTCGAACCCAGGACCTTCATATTACCAAGCGACTCTGGTTATATAATTTGAAATCAGTTAAATCCCAGTAAGCCAACACTTGAAAAAATTGTATGATCATAGTGAGGGAGATTAAATGAAACAAAATGACCTTTTAATACTGAATCTTTAGAACCCATTACTACTGTTGACCATTTAAAGTATAGGTGACGATAATAACAGGACTGATTAGTTGGAAGAATATTAAAAATCTAATGAAATACACTATATTCCAGGTAATAATAACAACTGACTATACGCTCCTTCTTTTTATTCTAAGGTTAAAAATTTTTTAATGAATAGCTTAGGCTTCCACCATTTACAAAAGCTTAAAAACAAGGCAACGTGACAGATTAGGGTAAATTGGATGAATAACCCGTAAAATCATTTTCTCGATCACTTTATAGGCTCATAATCATTTTGTCATCACACTCCATTTACCTTCTATATTATTTATAGATGACAGAATTGATTTATAATCGAATGACTGATACATTTCCAAGTTACGGTCAAGTAATGACAATAACAAACGCCTGGGATTTTATGCAAAGTTATCTTAGATGTTGTGCTCTACAAAATCGTGGTTGGGTTGATTACAATCGAACTGTTTGGTATAAATTGACGAATGCAGATATACATTATCATGGGGAGCTGATTCCACGTATGTATATACTACAGTAACATTTTTCTTACAACTTCTATATCAGCAATCTAATAGACTAGAAATAATATTGTTTTTGGGTTCCTACTATTATAAAATAAAATAATATTAATAACAATAACAACCAAGTATATGGCGAATACATTTTTAAGTCGAATATAATAATGGGTTACTTTCCGATGGCCACACAACTGTGTGACCTGTAATTTTATTCTGCATGGACAGACCTGGATGCAATTGAAAAAGTGGTTAAGCAGATGATAATTTGTCCTAGTAAATTCATTAAATATGGAGAAGATAAATTAATATTTCTATTCAAGACAGTGATTTGTATTACGTATGCGGTTAGTATGAAGAAAAACACACACAACAGAATCCATCAGCCAGTAGGACTACATTGAAGTATAGCGCATTAAATGCTCGACACAATAAATGGTTTAGAGGTTGTTAGAAAAAGAGCTCCACAGTACATTAGTGAGATTTATACGGCCAGTTAAACAAAAAATCATTCACAAAAAAAGACAGTAGGGCTTGCTAACAAAAATGAGGTGATGTAAATACGGAATTGCATGGAGGATTTCATCATGAGCTGACATCTGATGCTCACTAGAGACTGACCCTATTCAGGCAGTTAACCTGGGGTTCTAGTGGGTAGCCGTGACCAGTAGGGTAGAGCGGGTTGAAGATGAGACAGTAACTCATTGAAAAAGACATTGCGTCATGTCGTGAATTGGCAGAAGTTAGAATTCAAGGACCATTGGATCGGGTCCCAGTGGCTCAGTGGTCTACGAGCTCCCCTTCTAACCAGAAGGTCCTGGATTCCAACCCCGGTGGTTGCGTATTGATGAAGAGTCCCAAACTAGGACGAAACAGCTGTCCAGTAATCCCAGGTTTTCCAATGGTTCTTTAACCAATCTCAGCTCATGATGAAATCCTCCATACAATCAAACAAAATCCCTGCAAAGCCAATACTTGAAAATACAGAATTATTGGATTGCTGCCAGTCACTTCTGATCAGAGAAGTAAATTAGTTAAAGTATGAAAACTTATTATGCTATAAGTAATTTTTGATATTTTTATTTATTTATACTAAACTGAGTTTACATTTAATTGAATCAAAATACTATTCATATTTCAGAATTCAAATTGAAGTAAGTTAAAGCCAATGAAATTGTCAAAATTTGATGTGTATTTCGGTGCTTATCAAATGATCTGTGAAATCGAACTAAATCTTATTACGTAATCGTCATATTGTTGTAGTGCAATGTGTGCTACTGACAAGATTCTATGAGTAGTATACTACGTGTGACGTCTTCCATAAGAATGCTGAATAGTTGAGCAAGTTATCCCTGGGAAAAATATGGAAGGCATGAAAGGAAGATGAAAGAAGCTCGAATTGAAGAGCATGTGCAAATAGGGATTCAAATTTAAGGCTTCTGCATTTCACTGTAACTATATTACCGTGTTCTGTCGTTACAGAAATACCCATACACACAGCCACGATATCAAGATAATAAGTTGTGACTTTAATAAACAGTAACTCACTCGATTATAATCTGTCTATCATTCAGATATTTGCTGTATCAGTTTCTGCTTTCTGTTTGTTTATCTCACAGTTTCATAGCATCTGCCTGCATAACCATTTTACAAGCTAGTTTACTGCTGCTATCGCTGCTCTTCTTAGTTTGCCCGCCTAAACACAAACTCATTATAGTATTCAAATTAAACTTCTCAACATTTTTGACGAATTTATTTTAGGCACAAGTGATTATTATCAATTTGTCCCGGAATCATGTTGTGTTACCTTAATCGACGGTTTAACAGGCTTACCATTACAAGTTTATCGTAATAAGAAACGTTGTAAAAATTGGCAATATGGTCCACCTATGTTTCAAGATGGTCCACATAATGATGCATTGTATTATCGTGTAAGTTAAATGTTATTATTATTAGTAGTATTATTTTTCAAAAATATTAATTACAACCACCTTGATAATGGTGTTGATTTGAAGAGCACATTTTCGGAACTCTAAGTTAAATCAATTTTAAAAGTTCCCTCATGCAAACATGAACGTCAATAGTCTGGAGGTAGAATGCTAACCAAGTTACTCAAGTAGTCCGCGTTCGATTTCAGACCGACAAAATCCTAAAGTTAACCTAGTCACATTAGTAGACCTTGAAAAGAGGGAAGATTGGAAGTGAAAGTGGGCCGTAAAAATAAAAACACCTGAAGACCTACGTTCCACTCAGAATGCAAAAAAGAAATACAAAGAAAAGGTGCAAATGTGTGATAGTGTGGGTTTTATCTAATTACCAGTAGTTAATTTTTGTAGAAGTGTTATAACTATATAACGCCGAAGGGTTTCACAGATCCCCAACAGATATTTTCAAGGTAGATTTCAAGGTTAATATGAATAAGGTTTGTGTTTTAAATCTTTATGGTTATTTTTTTTACTTTAAATGTCAGTAGATTATTTTCTATATGAAGGATTAGTTCAACAACAAAATAGAAAAGTGATTTAGTTTCACATACACTTAGGGAATGTACACCTTTTTAACAATAAGACTTAAGAGGATACAACTTTTTTTCGCAGGTATCTGTATTAGAATAATCCTCGGATGTACTCCACATTAATTTATCTATTGGATTTGTCGTACAGTGAAACAGTAATTTATTACCCCTTAATGATACCATATGGTTTGATATATCACGATACTTATTAGTTATTGTCAGTACATATTCCAGCTATTAATTACTGGAAATCTGTTTCTTAAGGTATTTTAGTTACTCACAGACACAGCTACACATGATTACTTAAACAGCCAACCATAATTTTTTGTTATCTGCTTAATTCTATTTCAAATTATTCTAAGAACATGATAGTAAATATAAGTGTACTTATTTTACTTTTAATTATGATACAATAGTACATAATCCCGTACATGGTGCGGACGTTCCATGTCCCCACATAGACTTTTTCTTTTGGTGCAAAGTGATTCATCGTGCTAAAGTTTCTGTAGCAACTTTGTTTACAGGGTTGGGTTGTTAGCTTCACACCTGAGAAAGGGACTGTTACATTAAGATAAAATTAAGAGAAAAGCGAACTTGTGGGTTGCTACCCTCAAAATCGGAAAACAAGGAATAAAACAATCAGAACAACACCAGCAAAAGGCGAATAATTCACAGCAAAAAGGGCAAAAAGCGACAACAGCAATACAATACAACAACTTGCAATACAGTTAAGCACAGTTAACTAAAATAATACCAAAACCATAGACTCACTGACTTGGGCCAATTTGAACATATAAATCCAACAATATATACAATTACAGATATGAGTTAGTGTTAAAAGGTCACAAAATGTCAAGCAGTTAGTTATAGGTATTAGTAGTCAACAAGATTATATCCACAGGTTTAGTGTTCGCAAGTGAACGGATTGCAATAATTTCCAAAACTTCGTAGTAAGAAACACCAGAGATATGAGAGTTTTATGTAACTAAGCAATTGTAGCGCACAGTACTATTAACAGTTGTCTTCGCTCAATACTCAAGATCAGATGGCCGACCAGAAAAGATCAGAAACAGGGATCTCTGGCAATGAGCGAACCAACACAGCAGGAACCGATTGTGAAACAAATAGGCAGGAAGAAATGGAGATGGATTGGACATACGCTGAGGAAACCATCAAGTGACATCAATAGACAAGCCATCGCTCGAGTGGAACCCGAAAGGGAAGAGGCGAGTTGGTCGTCAGTGTGAGGGTGACTTGGAGGAGGTGATGTGAAGAGGAGATGGAAGCATGTGGGCAGACTTGGAGCGGAGTGAAAAAATTGGCAGAAAACCGAAGGTAATAGAGACGCGCAGCTGAAGCCCTATGTTCCTCTAGGAATTAAAGGATATAATAATAATACAATAGTACATCTACGTTCTACGATGTGCTAACGATGTACACGGTCAAAGATGAACAACGCTGCATTATGAAGCATAAGTGAAAACTTTAAAAGATGTATTGTTAACGAAATCATATTTCGAAAGGCGTATATATATATATATATATATATATATATATATATATATATATATATATATATATAACAAAAGAAAAGCAATGTTCAAATATACAGTGGCAAATATACCACAAGCATGTATAAAATTAGTTTCTGTAAACCTACAATATGAGTACATAAATTAGTTCTATAAGCGTACATCTAAAGTCCATATAAGGGCGCTATAAATATTTCTTTGAGAAAATACCTCATAATCACTTGTTATGGTTTTAAGGCGCTAGGTTCAACTGACAGAGACGATTTATACTATGCAAATAAGACTAATATTATAAGGAACTATAATTACTGACAGTTAATTTAATTCAACATAAAAAAAGCAGGAAGGACATGGATTGTGGTGCCACATTATATCGACGGTGAAGGGACTGTCTGTCTAGCTAGTTAATGTAGTCAGCAGCACTCTGATGGATGAAGTGAAGTTTGATGAGATCGATACTAATTCTTCTGAATTAGTTTATCAAAATTTCAGTTAATTTATGATATGTGTAAAACTTGGGCACTCTGGTAGTAAATAAATAATAATGGTTGATTGGTTACAGGATTTCATCATGAGCTGACATTGGTTAAAGAACCATTGGAAAACCTGGGATTACTGGACAGCTGTTTCGTCCTCGTTTGGGACTCTTCATCAATACGCAACCACCGGGGTTCGAATCCAGGATCTTCTGGTTAGAAAGGGAGCTCGTAGACCATTAAGCCACTGGGACCAGATCCAATGGCCCATGAATCCCAACTTCTGCTAATTCACAATTTTAGATGAAATTAAGAAATCATACTATCATCATGACTTATTGATACCTACCTGCTGATGACTGCAGGATTCAATCAACATTGTCTTCGGAGAGTAGCCGAAGATGGTCTACGAGGTCGCCTTGTAACCAGATGGTCCTGGGTTCGAACGTCGGTGGGTGCGTACTGATGAAGAGTCCTAAACTAGGACGAAACAGCTGTCCAGTCCTCTCAGGTTTTCCAATGGTTTTCTAATCAATGTCAGCTCATGATGAAATCCTGTAACCAATTCCATATTAATTTGTTTATTAGATACATCACACAGTGAAACAGTATTATTATTTACTGGATGACAAAGTTTCGAACAAAATTCATTGCTCATAATCATGTTACTTATAATCACATGACTTCGAAGCTTAAGTTGTATAGTTTCTTTTGTTCTCTCCTATTTGTCGTCGTAGAGGTAGTAGAATTTTCCAGATATTCCGGACAAGTGTTGAATCATTTCTGTTGCATGTAATTTCAGTTGATTCGATGAATAAAGCTTCCGTTATCAATTGGGGATAAGATGACAGTCTTCAAATCTAATATTACAGGGTGTAGGAAGAGATTGATAACGGAATCTTTGTGTTATCGAATCAACTGTGAACACGTGTAATAGGAATGATTCAACACCTGTCCTAGACATCTGGAAAGTTCTACTACCCCAACGATGACAAATAGGAGAGAACAAAGAAAACTATAAAACTCAAGTTTCTAAGTCGTGTAGTTATAATCGATATGATTTTATGAACAATAAATTATTTCACGGTGTGATATATTTAACAAGCAAAGTAGTATAGATAATTAAGTGTTGGTTTGTGGGGATTTGGTTGGTTACAGGATTTCATCATGATCTGACATTGGTTAGAGAACCATTGGAAAACCTGGGAGCACTGGCCAGGTGTTTCGTCCTAGTTTGGGACTCTTCATCAGTTCCGGGTTTTCCAATGGTTCTCTAACCAATGTCAGCTCATGATGAGAAAGTAGTATAGAGTTCAGTGAATTTACCTACATAGTCTGAAACAGGATTAAATACTATGTCAATAATTGCCATGCCAACTGCTAATTAATCTTAACAAATAATTATATGCATACATTTTTTAAAAATCATTCTCAACAGGGTTGTTACCATCTCTTTGTTGACTATGTTAATACATACAGTCGATATATTCTTGGAGTAGGATTAACAGTTGCAACACTGTTGGTAAGTATTTAAAATGCTTTAATTAAACTCTAATCTTTCATTTAAAAATCTCTGAATTTTTAATACTGAAGAATAGAATTACTTCGTTTTATACTGTTATACTAACTTTTTAATGGTGGATAAGAGTTTTTTCTTGCTTATTCGTTTAAATGGATGAAGCATCTTGTTTTTGATCTTCATGAACGAAAGGGATATTTGCATTCCTTGAAATTAGCATTCTAAATTCTCACAAATCGTCGAATTTAAAATTTTAAATCATGAAGAATGAATGAATTATTGGTTGCACTGATACGATGATTCTTGACTTATCCGTGTCCCTCGAAAGAATGCTTTGCATGGGTCTGCAACCCACAAGATCTCCTCTTTTCTAGTGATTTTACTTTGCAGTGATAGTTTGAATAATATTATCATTGGTTGAATTCACTGATTATCTGCTTTATGTGCTAACATTTGTAGGTATCCATTAAAATATCAGCCAACTAGGAATGAGGAATAAATAATTACTCATTTGTATGCCTTTGGCAATGAACACTGCAATTATTGTGTGGGTCAGTGATACTAATTAACTGCTGGAACCATCTATAGTAACAGAAGGATTCAAATCCGAGACCCCATGCTTAGAAGTTGACAACCTAGAAAAGTCAACCACACCAAGTAAAAAAGTATCACAGGGCTTATTTTACTGGGATATTGACAACTTTGAGACTTCCTACAGAACTAAATAAGTTGGGTATTTCCCTTATTTATCTACAGGTCAGGAAATATATTTAAAACAAGCAATAAAGGTTAATAAAGCAGGATTTTATGATGAATTCATCAAATTTCGGTAGAACTCCCCGTCAGCTGAATACTCTACATACACGGATATACATACTTTTGAAATTACATTGGGAGATATAAGACTGATAAGTAAATAAACTACGTTGAATTAGTCATGCAGAAAGACACGTGCGAATGTTTTCCAGGTCATGTTCAAATAGATAAGGGGAGAGGGAGTATAAGAGATCAAAATTAAGATAAATTGCATTACGCTTCAAATACATCCGTTAGATAAACAATTAGTCATTAGGGAATATAACAAGAATTGCAAACAGAGTAATATCAATAGTAATAGTTATAATAACAATAATGATAATAATAGTGTTGAAGTGAGTTAAGATGATGCTACTGATAAAGGATAGCTTTAAATGGATCAAGAATAATAATAATGATAATAACAATAATAATAAGAGGTAGAATAATAGTAATAATAAGTCAAACGTATTACCATGGTAGATTCAGAGTCGTGACCATCTCCTTTTGTATACAGAGAGCTGGTTTATAAATTCGAATTGCACAAGCCTCTGCAATTGCAAGCATCTTCTTGTTTCTTTGTTTGCTGACGATGGTGAATGACTTGACAGCGTCGATATCATGTCCGTAATCCACAAGATGTTTTGTTATTGAGGATTTTGGCGCTTTGCACTCAGCTGTTTTCAACCATTTTGGCAAATGCTCCATCATGCGAGTAGACAATCGCCTTTCCGTACGACCTATTTATTTGCTGCCACAAATACACTCAAATTGATATACACAGTTTGAAGTGTCGAGGATATAAATATATATATATATATATATATATATATATATATATATATATATATATATGCCTTTTCCCGTTCCCTGCCTTCTCAGTGGAACAACAGACTTCAGGCTTTTAAAGTCCCACCGGTGATTCCGTTGTTCTTCTCTGTTGTGTTGGTCACAAAACACACCCTACTCGCTTTCCTGGCCTTCTTATCACCTAGTAAACTAGGTGATGTTTAGGACTACGTAGGCCGGTAATCGAATCCAGCCAGACCATGTTTGTGGTTTGGGAGCATTCGACCGCTCAACCACTGACATACGGTAATCTATACTTCATACTGTATTATAGGGAACTGTTTTATAATTTTTAAATTCTGCTATGCTGAATATTTTTTATATTGCCGATAAGAATTGGGCTATGTACAATGAACCTCAAGGTGAAATTCATCATTATTTCGTGGAAAATCAAGAAATTAGTACGAAGTTTTCTAGTTTCTCACTACAGCAACCACTGAATTGACTAATTTACAAATTGGATCTGCTCAATCACAATATTCAAGGCTAATTTTAAGACCATCATGTATGACATTAACGCAAAATATAGTTACTAGTGTGCGTGCTCATCAAAATGAACACCAATGAGATATATGTGCTTGACACCAGACTGGATGACTGACCGTGCTCAACTAACCATTTTCAATAGATTCTAATAGACCAAAAATACGAACAAAGTGAATTATTTCATCATGAGCTGACATTAGTTAGAGAACCATTGGAAAACCTGGGAGTACTGGACAGCTGTTTTGTCCTAGTTTGGGACTCTTCATCAGTACGCATACACCGGGATTCGAACCCAGGACTTTCTGATTACAAGGCAAGCTCGTATTCCATTAAGCCACTGGGACCCGATCCAATTGCCCATGAATTCTAACCTCTCTCCATTCACGACATAGCGCGACCCATGATGAAATCCTGTAACCAATCAAATCCCTACAAACCAACACTTGAATGTCAATGAGATGCTCAGTGGGGACTTGTCCTATTCAGGTAGGTAATTACTTGGGGTTCTAGTGAGAAGTCGTGACCAGTAGGGTGCAGCAGGTCGGGTGTGAGAACAAATACTCTCCGAAGGCATTGGCTATGGGTCGCGCTATGCCATGAATTGACAGAAGTTAGAATTCATGGGCCATTAGATCGGGTCCCAGTGGCTTAATGGTATACGACCTCGCCTTGTAACCAGAAGACCCTGGGTTCAAATCCCGGTGGTGGGTGCGTAGTGATGAAGAGTCCCAAACTAGGACGAAACAGCTGTCCAGTACTCCCAGGTTTCCCAGTGGTTCTCTAACTGATGTCAGCTCATGATGAAATCCTGTAACCAATCAACAAAATCCCTACAAACCAACACTTGAAAGTCCATTATTCATCTTGAATCATTCTCAAAGCAGATCTCATCTAATAAAGAAATTGAAGACGATATTAGTGCAGATCAATACTGATGAAAGTAATCACATCCTAGACTGTATTAAAACACTTTCCTCAGCAGTTAAATAGCTCACTCAACAAATATTTCCATCCACCAAATTAATCATCGAAATCTAATCAACTGACAGAAATGTAGCCTTAGAAAATTTAATGAATAAATGAACCAAGAAAAGCAGCTAACCAATCATTATGCAAATATGATTTTAAAATGATTGGTAATCTCTGTTACAACACTTAGGTGACTTGGATTACCTTTAGCGTTAAGATTTAGAGATTCCAAGCAGCTTTATATAATATTCAATACACAGAATATCAGTACACGGCTTGACTTTTCATCTTCTCCTGAATCTCTATCCTTTATATACTTATTTCTTGGTTATTTATGTTCTTCTTGCTTCCAAATTATGTTGATTACTCATAATAACAGCTTCAAAGTTAGTAATTCCTCTGTAAACATGCAAGCAATGTTCGCTATTGTAGTAATATGGGGATAAATCCTTGAAGTTTTAATGAAAATTAACACCGATAGTATCACAAAGTTTACTCTTGAGTGACATTGGGTTACAATAGTACTGTATCATGACTTTGTAGAAGTTTAGAGTGTGCACCAATAAATGTTGATGGTGAACAAACAAAAGACCACCTGTTAATCGATTCGATGAAAGTGGCTTCAGTCCCAGATATACACATAGGTACAAATTTTTAACCAACTGTCTAACTGACAGTGATTGGTAATGGAAACCACTTTCCCCTCCCTTTCTAAAAGATTCAAAAGCGTCTTCTAAACCAATCATTCATTTCCCCACTTATCAAATGTAGGTTATTAATACTAGTCTATAATTTTATATGATACAATTTAAAGCAATACACAAGGTAAATCAAGTTTGTATTGATCACAAATGTTAGAAGGACAACTTATCATTTGAGATATACATTGTATATTGTTTTTCCTTTTTATAGATAATTATCTTCTTGCTACTTGTGTACACAGAACTATTGACTGTTCCAAACTATACACAAAATTACTATCCTAATTCATTAAAACAAAACCACGTCAAATAAATGCATATTATCAAAGTGAGTTTATACACTTCAATGAAAGAATCCTTCAACATTACAAGTCAAATCCTTACCAGTAATTCCTATTTGAAAACCATAATGATTTTCAGTGAAGTGTATAGTTACAAAGTTGGGCATAATTTAAATTAGTTCTCCTTTTCTCTCACCCTAAAGTGCAATATTTATTTTTTCCTCTTTTATTTCTTGGTTGTATTTAACTCCTAACCTGATGTAATTATTAACTTGTTTTTAAATGCTTTTTTATATTCGTTTTCTTGTCAACTTGATATTCTAACCATAAAATAAATTTTCATTTTTTGAATAAGACGCTACTGTCTTAGTGTAAACAACCAGTTTGATTTTTTTTTCTGGTAAAATTAACTGATATCATTTAAAAAAGGGCTCAGCACTTCATCATGAGCTGACATCAGTTAAAGGAGCATAAGAGAACCTAGGAGTAATGGACAGCTGTTTTGTCCTAGTTTGGGACTCTTCATCAGTACGCACCCACCGGGATTCGAACCCAGGGCCTTCTGGTTACAAGGCGAGCTCGTATACCACTAAGCCGCTGGGACCTAATCCAACGGCTATTGCAATCCATCCTGGTTACTACACGATAAGTTTTTGTTTGACCTTGTTCTGATATCAATCCTGTCTGTCTGTCTTCGACATAGAACTTTGCACATATGTGCGGAAGTTCAAGTCGCCACACTCTCTCCTTGTAGCACACAAAGCAAAAGAAGAAAGTAGAAGAAATGCATATTAGAGTCAGTAAACAGAGGTGTGAGACAAAGGAAATAGTAGTAACGAAGAACAAAACAGTTTCATTGGAAATCATAAGTCACAAGGAGTGGATGCATCTGCGCCAGCCAGCCATTGAGAACGATTTTGAGCCATGTCACCAATTGTTTTTAACCACTGGATTTACCGTCCCGAGGACCCCAACAAGTCAGGAAGTCTACACCTTCCTACGTGACTGGCTTAGACTAACTGTTGTAGATTTCATTGACTGGTGAGGCCATGTTTTGGTTTGACCGCCACTAGCTCTCTTCCAGCCTGACCCTATGTCTGCTAACATTGCCCATTGTCGAGGAAGGCGATGACTAGGCATACATAACACATGCCCCAACCATCTCAGTCTATGTAACTTCACAGCCTCGTCGATTGATTTCCCCTGCTTACCTAGCACTGGACGGACGCCTAACCTCAATATTGCTCACCTTATTATACCACTTCACACGGGAGATAGAACGCAGGCAGGCACCTATGATCAAAGACAGTTACTCTTTTCAAGTCTTCCACTCTCAATGGCCAGGTCTCACAGCTAGTCACGAAGGAGGACGGAGCGGACTGACGGGCAGTACACCCGCCCTTTCGTCGATAGTCGGATATCACGTCTACACCAGAGACGGCGTAAACTGGCATATGCGAAACTAGACCTCTGTATCCGTGCTGAGATTTCGTCAGTGATCAACACGTTGGCACTGACTGATGGTACTTCCCAAATAAGTGAAGCGGTCAACGTGCTCTACCACTTCACTTCCTATTTCTAATCTAGGAGTCGGTGTAGTCCAGTCCTGTAACATCATCTTGCATTTGGTCGGAGCTGATCGCATGCCAAACATTCGTAGATTGCAGCTCAAGGTGTTCAGAAGACTCTGCATTTCGTCAGCGTCTTCGCCTAGAAGGACTATATCGTCTGCATATTCTAAGTCAACGAGATTATTCCCTGGTAGCAAGTCAATCCCTGAGTCGCTGAAGTCACTTAAGGTTAGGTCCATTAACACATCTATGAGGAAGTTGAATAGAAAAGGGGATAATGGGCATCCTTGACGGACACCACTAGTCGTCATCAGTTCAGATGACAGCTCGCCGTAAGCCCTCAACTGGCTGACTGCATGAGTTCGAGTAGAGTGCCTTGACCAGTGCAATGTATTTTCTCGGCATTCCCTTTACAGTCAAGCATCGCCATAGAATCTCTCAGTCGACAGAATCAAATTCCGCCTTTAGTTCAAGAAATATAATGATTGTTGGACGCCGGTAGGAATGCTTATGTTCTAGAATCTGTCGGAGGGTAAAGATATGATCAATATCGATCCTAAGTGGGGCCATATGCACTTACTGCTGAAGAGTCGCAAACCCGGAGAAAACAGTTTTACAATACATCCCAGTTACCAGTGGATCTGTATCTGATGTCAGTTTGTGATCTAACTTAAAACAGATTTCATGAATTTTTTAAGTAAGAGTGAAAAACGGACCGGAAGGACAGATTCTCTAAGACAGGAAATTAGACTTCTACTCAGTGATTAGCATGATAAACACATTCAAATTTAAGTGAGAGAAAAAAGGTTAATGGATGATATGAGGCTGACACTGACAATTTGCAAAATATTACCATCATCAAAACGTGGAGATTCTGAACTTTCTTAGTGGAAAAGAAACTTCAGAAGCTTGCGAAGAATTGCCTGCAGGGTTGTGCTAAAACGATAACTTGGAGGAACCCCAAATTCACAAGCCTGCAGAACCCAAATTATGTTATATTTAATAAACGTTCCAATGTTGCATTAAATTATATATATATATATATATATATATATATATATATATAAGGAATATCCTGAGTATATTCTTCTTCAAAAATCAGCTACCTTTGGACAACAGTTTAAATGTTGATGTATGAATTTGTATAAAGTCGAAGTGTAGCCTTATTTTGATCCTTTTGAAAATAGCAGTGTTCACCTACGTGGCTATCTGCATATTAGTTAACATATATCAGACTATTCAGAAATTACCTATAAACGACCTTGTTCAAAGACATTTAGTTTACCCACTTCACCTTCATGTATCCAAAATCTGTAAAACATCGTAGAAGTATCTATGATTTTTACTAGATGTCGTACTTTATTAAATAACAAAGTAGTGTGATAAAACTGTAGAAATAGAATTATCTGAGTTAGTGGATTGATTTCCACATATTTACAGTAGAATTTAACATTATTACGAAACCCACCGATTAACAGAGTATTATTATTATTATCAGTTTAGTTAGGCGTTATAGTTTTAACTACGGAAAAATTCGGTGCACGCTCTTTGGTCAGTACTAATTCCCACCACAAATCCTGTTCTTTGTAATCAGTTAACGTGGTGTTCATGAAAGACATTTCCCATGGATTCGTGATAGTTTGTCTTAATATGTTTGATGTTATACATTATCCTTTATGTTTTCTTTTTATACATTAACTGACAACTTCATATCTACTTATCCCAACAAATGGCATGGTTTAGCAAAGGCACTTATTTTCAGTGAGATAAAGTGTTAAATAAAGTATTAGAATTATTTACGAACTTCGACTCCTTTTCGTATTCATCAAAGGTTAACTTCTAGGCATCTAAAGTAAATAAAATTTAAACAACATAGAATTACTAAGAGAAATATGAGGTATTTAGTAGAGTAGTCACAATCTTAGAAATCAACTAAGATTGGCGCGTGTCAGCCTTAAGGGTGATAGAGATTCACAAAATGAATTTATTATAATCCCACTGGGAATGATATATGTCAAGTAGTGATTAACTGAAGTTATAAATTGCGTTTCTCGTTGGTTTCCTTGAGTGACTGGTCACCTTTTATATACCATTTAACGCAGGCAGCCATGATCAAAGACAGCTAGCCTTTTCATGTCTTCCACTCTCACTGGCCAAGGCTCACAGCCATAAATGAGGACAGAGTGGACTGTTGAGCAGTACACACACTATTTGGTCGACAACTGGATGTCATGTGTACGACAGAGATGGTTGGTCTCGTTAAAAAAGGTAGACCTAACACCTTTAAATTATCAAGGAGAAGCTCTAAATAATACCTAAAAATGATGTGGGTATAGAAGAATACAAGAAATCAGAAACTATTTAAGGAGATTTATGAATATAATGAAACTCCACTGATGAAATAAATCAGTGTTAGTAGAAGATCAAAGAAAGGTTAGTATTTATTGCTAAAGGATCTCTTACAAACAACTATCGCCGCACCTGGGCAGCGATGATTCGAGATGTTCATGAAGCCGGCTCATCCTCCCGTAGGAGATAGCCGAAGTAAAGTAAGTAAAGGATCTGGATAAAATGAACTATATGACCTTTTTCACAAATTGGTGAATGTTGAGTTTTATCGCACACGTGCAAATACATTCAGAGGAATATTCTCAAAATTACGAAACATCAACGCCAAAACAGACTAGTGAGTAGATCAAGATATTATCAGAGACCAATTAATTATATAACGTTACAGCATTCGTACATATATATATATATATATAGGCAGATTGGTTCCTTTGGGTATGGTAAGAAGTACGTGTTTCAAAAAGTTGCAGCACAAAAATTTTATGCAAGTTTACTACACATCAACTAGCACGGTTACTCGTTTCGAAAAATTCATGGACTAAATTAAACAAACTGACATAAGCTAGAATGAAATGTGAGTCACTTAATTGAACAATAACGTGACAATTGACAAATATGACGCTCTGGCTGGATGCTGAATAGAGTCGTGCCATTTCGAGGAAATATCCATGTAGTTCTTGATTATTAGTAATTATCTATTTGCTTCTGTTTCCTGATGAAAAATGCCTTCTACAATAAACATAATATGCTGTTAGATATCGAGTGAATTCTATTGCTAACCGCCACCTACTAAATAACATCATATCGGCATCAGAGTCATAATCGAAATGTCCCACATCGGAACTCGTATACCAGCAACTACTAGTTGTCTCAATCAAGTGAAACTAAAAAAGAGAAATCCCCTAGTCCGACTAAATGAAAATAATTTAACACAACATTGTAACGTTTATTAAATATAACAATTTGGGTTGTACAAGCTAGTGAATTTGTGGATTATCCAAGTTATCGTTCCAAGCACAGCACCACTGGGAATTCTTTTCCTCTATAAAAGTTCAGAATCTCCACGTTTTGATGGTGTTAATATTTTGCAGGTTGTCAGAGTCAGCCTCATA